TACATGCGCGTCGTCTCCTCTGGGGCGACGCGCGCACCGAGAAATCTTACAGTATGTGCGTCGTGGCGGGCGTTTTCTGGCCACACCGCTCGGGGAACGATGCACTACAAGACAGGCATACTGTGTGTTCGGGTCGGACGCGCGCCTCTAAGGAGGATATATCGTATTAGTGTGTTCCTCTGCATCTCGGGCCAGACGAAAGGGGAGGATTGGGAAAGGGGGGGTACCACATCTGCTGCAGGCAGCTTGTTTCGGCCCCACCGAGGGGCCCATTCCTCGATACATATCGGAGGTGGGTAGACCTCCTACCCTGACACGTCGATTGAGGAATCCCACCAGCCCTTTGGGCGTGAGTGGTTTAGCGAGCTCTCTCTGTTCTCAACCCCCCTTCTTCCCCTTCGGGGAGGGGTTCACCCCTCCCCCATACCCCCTCCCCCTGGACCTGGAGAGGGGGTTTCGCGGGTGGTCAGAGGGTCCTTTCTCTATCCTTGGGAGGGCTAAAATTCGACACCCCTCACGAGGATCGTGGCCCCGACGGGGGTACTGACAAAAATGCTCGCCTCTTCTTTGAAGCGAAAATCACTGATTTTACTAAGGTTTTGGCCCCATGTTGGCCTTCTGCGGGGGCAGCGCTAATTAAAGCTCCCCTCTTCTTTGAAGCCAAAATCACTGAGTTTACTAAGGTTTTGGCCTCAGTTTGGCCTCCTGAAAGGGGGCAGCGCTAATTGAAGCTCCCCTCTTCTTTGATCGATTTCCTCCAAGATGGCCCCAAGAAGCGCCCAGGAGGCAACAAGAGGCCCCAAGATGGCCCCAAGATGGCCCCAAGAGGCCCCCAGGAAGCCCCCAAGAGGATCCCAAACGGCCCAAAGAGGCCCCCCCGAGGCACCCAAAACGCCGAAAAGCCCTTCAGGACGACCCTCTACTCGCCTGGCCGTCGTTTCTGCACGGGCTGGTGGGGATACGCGAAGCGTAAAGAATTCCTCACGTTTCGCGTATCCCCATCAGCCCATCCTACACCAGGCACTCGAACGAGGAGCGCCGATGATCGGCAGCTGTTCTCCTCCCCTCTTCCTCCTTCTCCTCCGCCTCCTCCTCCTCCTCTCCTCCTCCTCCCTCCTCTCCTCCTCTTCCTCCTCCTCCTCCTCCTCCTCCGCCTCTTCCTCCTCCCTGGTGGCGTATTGGAAGTGTCTTCGAACGTTTTGGTGGGCTCTTGGGCCTTGCGGGCGGGCGGGCGGCGCTCCGCCCGCCCGCGCGCAGGGCCCAAGAGGGGGTGAAGACGTCTCTCGGAGCCATCTTGGAGGAGATCGATCAACGAAGGGGGGTTCCTAAATTTCAGCCCCCCCCTCAGGAGCCACGATCCTCGTGAGGGGTGTCGAATTTCAGCCCTCCCAGGGGTCGATCTTGGACGCTCTGACCGATCGCGGCCCCCCCTGTCCAGGTCAGTGGGGAGGGGGTAGGGGGAGGGGTAAACCCCTCCCCGAAGGGGGAGAAGGAGGGGTGGATGAGGAAATGCTCTAAACCACCGACGCCCAGAGGGCTGGTGGGATTGGCCGTTTTCGGTTTGCGAGAGGGTGTCGCGGCCGTCAGTGTTGCGGGTCCAGGTCCGTCGGTTTCGGTCCCAGGCCGTTTTCATTGAGGGGAGGTTTACGAAAGGGAGGTTCTGTCCACCGCCGAACATAGCCGCCTTCTGGCGCCGGGAGGCGCCAGCAAAATCAGCTATACGCGAGCTGATTCTCAAGCCCCCCTTTGCGATCCCCCCCTCTCTCAGGAGGGGAAAAAACACACAGACACAATTGATCGTCGATCCCCAGGAAAAGATGGGAAACTATGGGAAGTGGGGGGGGGAAGACAAGAGCCCAGAACATATAGGAACATATGGGGAATCATTTTATCTGTGTGTATTTCTTTGCGTGTCCCTGGGGCCCCTTGACTCTCGCCCGGCTCGGCGGGCGGGCGCCGCCCCCCGCGCGGAACGGGCGCCCCCAGCGCGCGGACGCCGCGCGCGGGGGGGGGGGGCGGGGCGAGGCCCGCCCGCCCGAGGCCACGGACGGGGGCCGCCGCGGCAGCGCGTAGGGCGAGGCGGCCTTCGGCGGCGGCGGCCGGGGGCCCGACGAGGGGCACGAGCGCTGCGCACGGGCTCGGCGCCCCCCCCCCCCACGGCCGTCTCGGATCGGGCACCCAGACATGCGGGCACTACTTCTGTCCATGTCCACTGCGATATGAAGTTTCGGGTTTCCTTCCCCAGAAACCAGAGGCGCGCTGGATAAGGATAAATTTGCCCCCTAGAGGCTCGATGTTTATCCATATCCAGTGCGCCTCGGCCTTGTGACGCTCGTTCCCAAAAAATCCAAGACGCACTGGATATGGATACGAACCTTGCCCGCAAGGCATGGTCGCGCCGTGAAGGAAGAAAAGACAGGACGGGATGTGTTTTTGGCCCTTCCGGCCTCGGGGGGCCCTCGCCGGGCCTCGGGGCCGCCAAAGAACGACGCAGGACGAGAAAAAGCCGGTCCCGGGGATGGGTCGGGACCTCCAGGGACGCCGTGCTGAAGAAGTCAGGGCGTCGCATGCCCGGGCACGGCCCGCCGCAGGGGGCCTGCTCGAAAGCAGCAAAGTCGTGGTGTGGCAGCCGCGTGTCGTGCTCTCTCTCTCTCTCTCTCTCTGACCGGTCTTGAGCAGTTGTCTGAGTTCTTCTTCCTCCCAAGATCAAGGGAGGAAAAAACACCCAGACCGGACGACTGGCGTTCACTAAACGGCCCTCGGCGTTTACTAAACTGCCCTGCCCTGTTCGATTCCTTCTTTGGGTGCGTGTTTACTTCAGTTGAGCGGAAGATCGGGACAAATCGGAACCAGAGATTCTGGGAGAGTTCCAGAGAAACATATAACGCCGATTTGCGGAGCGTACCGCGCGCATTCGCAGAAGTTCCCAAAGAGTGTTCGAGGGCTTGATGAGCCCAAGTAACACATGGGCGCTCAATTAACTATTGGGGGCGGGCAGAAAATCTGGTGTGCACGAGCATTGTGGGCGGGTGCGCGGCTTGCACGGGGGGCGCAGTAGGTTTGCGTTTCAGGGACTTGGGCGCTGGCCACTGCGCTGATGGGGGGCCCGAGAATGCGTCGCACATATTACGCCTGTGGCGCCATGGAGGCCGCATTTGCGGTTGCAGTTGGGCGGGCGCCCCGCCGCGCGCACCGTGGCGACAGCTCTCTTGGGCGCCCGCCCGCCGCCGTGGACGTAGTGGACCCAGCTAGTCTCTCGGTCGGCGCGCGGCGGGTCGGCAGCCACGACGCTGGCGGCCTGAAAATGCTTCGAAAGTGTTTCTCCCCGAGCCCGGGGCTATTGTACGTTTTCGGTGGCACGCGCAGCTCGGAGAAAAATTGCCTTGTCCGTCGGCGGCCAGTTGGGTGTCGTGGCGCAGAAGCACCGGCGGATGGCGCGGTCCACGCTCAGTGCGGAGAGCGTGTCCATGAGCGTGGACTCGTCGAGGGGCAGGAGGAAGGACCTCGCGGTCGGGACCATCGCGGCCCGCGATGTCCACGGCCCCCAGCCTGGGCGCGCGAGGACCTGCTGGGCGCCGCCGCAGCGCGATTTCTGAGGATCTCGGAACCAGAAATCCGGGCGCGCCAAATTTCGCGGGCCGAAAAACTCTCAGAGAGTTTCGGCCAGCTCCGAGGTTTTGGATTTATGGGAATGTTTCACGCGGGGTGGCTAGTTCAGAGATTTTCAGAGATTCTCAGAGAAGTTCGGACGCGAGAATTTGGCGCGCCCCGGTTTCTGGTTCTGCGAATCTCTGAACAGCGGTTCCCTAGGTTTTACCGGGTCTCCAGGCGTCCTACTGTCAGCCAGAGACGAGCGACTGGCTGGCGCCGCGCCCGATGCTTCCGGAGTTGCGAACTCGGTCTTCGATTCCCTTGGGCCCGCGGGCCCCTGGGCCAATTGCGAGGTTGCCGAGGCCCCCAGGCGGTTGCGCGCGATTGTCTCGGAAACCAGAGTTGGGCATCCATGGTGGACGCCCGCGCGCACGCGCTAGGTGTCCGCGAGATTGTTCAGTGGCGGATCTTGCATGGCGCGAGGATTTTCCAAAGACTTTCTGGGGTGTTCTCTACGGTTATTTCGGCGCGCTTCGGGAACCTTGGGGCGGCGCGGGGAAGTCGCCTGGCCGCGCGCGTGACTTTTTTTCCAATGCCGTCTTGGGCATTATCGCGGTGTTGCTTGGCCGAAGAGGTCACTGAGTAACGCGATTTTTGACATTTTCGTGTTTTTTTTCGTTGCGTTGGTTGCGTGATTGTTTTGGCGGTCCGCCTCCTTGGTGCCCCCTTTGGACCTCAAGTTTGTTTTGTTGACGTCGGGCCTTCTGGAGTGAAAGGCGCTTGGCGCTGAATTCCCTCGGTCGCGCGCGTGGCCGAATACGCGCCGTGGCTTCATCCGCGCCAGGGCGCTTTTCTTCCCTTGCGAAACCGATGGCGCCCAAGGCGTGGCAGGCCCGTTCGGCGGCGCCCCCGGTGATTTGAAAAACCGAACATGATTTTTATCCCGGTCAAATTTTGCCCCGATCCCGGCTTCATCTTATTACTAAACGGCCTCGCGTGTCGGGGTGGTTCTTATCGGGTTGGATTTTCTGTTTTGCCCTCTGCAAGACCCGCCTGGGGGAGCACATGCCCGACCGAACAGGTGTCGCCCCCCCCCCCCCCAGTCTCGGGCCGGGCGAAAGGGGGGGATTGGGAAAGGGGGGGTTACGAAACTTGCTGCATGCAGCTGGTTTCGGCCTCACCGAGGGGCCCGTTCCTCGATACATGCCCGCCTCCGGCGCCGGGAGGCGCCGGGAACAAATCAGCTGCGCGAGCTGATTCTCAAACCCCCCCTGTGCTATCCCCCCCTTTCGCCCGGCCCGACAGTCTCAGCAACGCCCTTTCGAGAACGGCCCGACACATCCCGCCGCGCAGTCTTCCCCGACGCGAGCGCGCCTGGGCCGGGGCCCTTCCGCGCGGGGGGCGCGCAGGCGGAGGCCCCTGGCGGGGCTGCGGTGCCGGGCGCACGTCCTCGGTCAGCTCCTCGGTGCACGCGGCGCCAGGCGGGCGGGGGCCGGGGCCCCCGCTCTGCGCAGCCACGCGCAGAGGGGGGTGGGGGGGAGGAGGGGGGAGGAGGGAGGAAGGAGGAGGAGGAGGAGGAGGAGGAGGAGGAGGAGGAGGAGGAGGACGAGGACGAGGAGGAGGAGGAGGAGGAGGAGGAGGAGGGGAGGAGGAGGAGGAGGAGGAGAGGAGGAGGAGGAGGAGGAGGGGGAGGAGGAGAGAGGAGGAGGGGGGAGGAGGGAGGAGGAGGGGGGGGGGAGGGAGGGGGGGGGGGGGGAGGGGGGGAGGGCTGCTTAGAAGCACCCCTGCTTCTCAGCAGGCGGCGGCCTTACATCTATAGGTGTAAGGCCGCCGCCTTCCGAAAAGCAGGGGGTGCTTCTAAGAAGCCCTCCCCCTTCCCTCCGCCCCCTTGTGCGCGCCGCCAATCTGCAGTGTCGACCAGACGTAAGAGTGACCTTTCGCCGGAGCGACCTCTGGTGCGGGCATATAGATGGGTCCCCAGGTGGCTGGAAACGAAGCAGGGAGCAGCGGCTTGCGCGCCCGGGTTTGCCCCCCCCCCGCGGCCCCCACAAAGCCGCGCACCAGAGGTCACCTCTTGCCCAGGGTCGCTCTTTGCCTGTAGCCGATGCAGGCTCGACTCGATTCACGCGAGGCGCCTCGATCTCGGCTGCGAGGGCCGCCGATGCCGATGCGAGTCGGCTCGGGCTTCCGCTCCGGGGCCCGAGGTCCCGCTGGAGGCCCACCTGCTGGCCTGCCGAGGTCCGCCGGTGCGACCCTCCTCGGCCTTGCCGCCGGCAGCCCGCCGCTCCGAGGCGCTTGGATCGCCGAGCCGGCTCGTCGCTTCGGCTCTGGGCTCCGGTCGGGCGTGCCTCCCTACAGGGGGATATCTGGACGAAGAATATGACATAGCCAAGCCTTCCCCCAAATGGCCCAACGCATCCTCAGAGAATGGTTCCCAGCCGATGATCTAGCTATTTTTGAATACTCCTCCTCTTTTGGGCTATGTTTGATTATTTCTGAAGAATAGTCCCCAGACTATCCTTGGACTATCTTTGAATACGGTGCCGTTTTTGAAATACGTGCGCCGCGTGCGGATCCTGTATTACAAAAAATGCAGGGGTTTCGTATTAAGCACAACGATGAGTTCATGCATACATGTATTCATACATTCACCATGTATTAGAAATCCTACGTGCTCAAAAAATCCCATGCGTTAAACATTGCCCTGTACTCCTCTCGTGGAGGGACGGGCCCGACCTAGTTCTGGGCGCTCGCCTGCCCGTCGCTGCCTGCCTCCCTCGTGCCGAGTAAGTCATAGCCAAACATTCCCCTAAATGGTCCAAAACATCCTCAGAGAATAGTTCCCAGATTATTATTTGACTATCTTTGAATACTCCTCTTTCTGATTTTTTTTGTTAAGCATAGTTCCCAGACTATCTTGTGACTATCTCTCAATACTCCTCTCGTGGAGGGACGGGCCCGACTTCGTTCTGGGCGCTCGCCTGCCCGTCGCCGCCTGCCTCGCTCGGTGCCGAGGGCGGCGGGCGGAGGGCCGCTGGCCGCTGGCCCGCGCCTGGGGCCCGCGCGTCCCGCGGCCTCCACGGGTCCTGGGGGCATGGGCTCCCCTCAAGTCGGGCCTGTCTCCCTACGGGGGGATTATCGACGACAAATAAAAAAGATACCCCAAAAATAGTCAAAACATCGTGCACATTCATACATGCATACATGCAAGTATACATGCATCCATACATTCATACATGAATGCATACATACATGCATATACATACTTGCGTATACGTACATACCTGCATATCTGCATACCTGCACATCTGCATGCATACATACATACATGCATATCGCCCGGAGGACTGGCGTGACACCTATATACCGTATACGCCGTTGTGTGGCGTGTCTTCGAAGGCCCGTGGGACAGGACCCGAATATTTCAGCGCATGTTCGCGCGGTTCCTTTTTTCAGCGGTCCTGGGTGCATCGGCTCCCCCTGTGGCGGGTGTGAAGAGTGACGGCCTCGAAGTGGAATCTTGGCGGAAATCATCTCCATAATTGTCCGTGGCCTCGCGAGCTGGGCCACTGGGCCGCGACCCCGCGCGTGCGGGGCGCGTCGTCGCGGTCGCCCCGCGCAGAAGGCATGTCCGTGCGACCGCGCGTGCCCGCGGGACCGCGCCGTGCAGTCCAGTCCGCGAGGGCGTGGATACGGATGCGTTCGTCGCTCGAGGAGGAGGAGGAGGAAGAGGAGGAGGACGAGGAGGAGGACGAGGAGGACGAGGAGGACGAGGAGGAGGAGGAGGAGGAGCAGGTAGAGGCGCAGGAGGAGGAGGGAGGTGGGAGGAGGAGGAGGAGGAGGAGGAGGTCGACAAGGAGGAGGACGACGAGGACGACGAGGGCGGAGGGAGGACGGGGCATGGGCCCGCGGGATTCGAGAGAGCTTCGGAGCAGTGGCGCCTTCTCGCCTCCAGCGCAAGGCCCTTGCCCGCGGAGGGGCGATGTGGCCCCCTCTCGGAGGGAGGTTGCTTTGGGCGGCCACGGGGGAGGCAGGCTGATGTGCCTCGACGCCCTCCTGCTCTTCCCCTTGGGCAAGTTGCCCCTGGACCTCTCCCGGGGCGGGCTTCGACCCAAATCTCGAGGAACATCGGGCCCGCGGGCGGCGGAGGAGGCTGCCCCCCCGAGGCCCACGAGCATACAGTGAAAGCACGGCTACCCGTGCGGAGATTTCGGGGCAGCTCCTCCGTACCCACGAGCGTTCACGCACGGTGGGTGTGTGGGTGCGAGTGTCTCCCCAGAAACAGTTCCAGATGTTGGGCCGAAGCCACGTCGGCTGAACGGGCCGCTTGAGGTGATGACGAGAAGGAGGTGTCATAGGGGGGAGGGAGCGTGTCATAGGGGGGGGGGGGGGCGCGTTCAAAGGTTTTGGACGAGGAGGTGATGACGAGGAGGAGGTGTCATAGGGGGGGAGGGAGCGTTCGAAGGTTTTGGACGGTGTGTGGATGCCGTCGATGGTTTTCGAGGGTCGGAGAGGGCAGATCGAGTTCTTCGCGGGTCGAGATTGATCAATTTGGTCTACGGCTGCTCGCCTGGATCGGAGTGAGAACTTACGAGCCAGTCTTTCACGACCCCTCCTCCATCGGGCGCGGGGAGGAGGAGGAGGAGGAGGCGGAGGAGGAGGAGGAGGAGGAGGAGAAGGAGTAGGAGGAGGAGGAGGAGGAGGAGGAGGAGGAGGAGGAGGAGGGGGAGGAGGGGGAGAAGGGAGAAGGGGGGAGCAGGAGGAGGAGGAGGAGAAGGAGCCACTCTTTCACTCCTTCTACGTGGGGCGCCTCCATGGGTGCCCAGCGCGGATCCAAGAAGTGGGCGCGAACCTCCGAACGTTTATGTTTGTGCCGTCTTCTGCTCTTCGAGACATCCCCACGCTGTCGGGGAGCTGTTCTGGCCCAGGCGTATCGCACCCTTGTCCAGGCGGAGTGCGACGCCTCTTTCAGAGAGAGAGAGAGGGCCTTTTTGAAGTGCATGGCGAGTGGCACCTTCTTGGGCGTGCTCGCTTACCACGAGGATGGCCACAGTGTGCAGTGCACTGCAGCAGCTGATGGTTCACGCGGGAAGTCCCCACACTGTCGGGGGATGGGGATCGCAGTGTCTCCCGTTGACCCTCCCGCGCGCCTCTGACCAGAGAGCTCGCTGTCCTTGACGATGCAGTCAAAAACACGAATGCGCGTCCCCGTCCGAAGGTGAGTTCGTAGCAGGAGAAAACGCAGGAGCATCGGTTTGGTTGTTCCTTGTTGTTTGTTGTTTTTGTTTGTTCTGGTGTGAAGCTCGCTGATGGCCAGCGAACGCGATCTGTGTTTCTGGGGCGACGGTGGAGAGGGCAATGCTTGCGTAGGGCAAGAGGAAGCATGAGCAGCCCAATCGTCGGCAAGAGCAAACCTGAAATCAGAGCTTCTCGCGAAGGGCGGCTGTAAGGATTGCTTTTGACCGATCAAGCGCGCCCGCCGAGCGTACGGGGATCTGGCCCTGGAAACAACGCTGCCCCCCCAGCGACCTTCAATACTTTCTTGGTATAGCTCGGACGTGTGCATCCTTCTCGGCGAGGCCAGCGCCAGAAGTTCTGGACCGTCCATGGGCCTTACCTCGCGCGTCCTGGACCCCAATTTTAACGCCGGAGGGCGACCAAGGCACGGAGACGTGGACGTCCGAGCGACGGCAGGTCTTCTCCTCCGCGATGGGCTCACGCTGTCAGGGAAGGGGGATCTCAGGAGGGGAAAGACGCACAGACACGATTCATCGTCGATCCCCCGGAAAAGATAGGAAACGATGGGAAATGGGGGGGGAGGACAAAAACCCATCAGAGATTTGAAACATATGGGGAATCCTAGTATTTCTGTTTTTTGAATGTGTGTGTGAAAGTGTGTGTGTGTGTGTGTCAGGGCGCCTTTGGGATCGCAGTGCCTCCTGTTGCCCCTCCCGTCGGCCCTCCCGCGGGCCGCTCTCCTCCGCGTCGAGGCGGCTGCCGCCTCCTGCTGCGCTGCGCCGACGGCGCCTACGACGAGGAGCTGATGGCGGCCACGCCGCAGGAGTCGGGGGGGGAGGGGGGGGGGAGGGGGGAAGGAGGCTTGGAGGTTCCGGGTAGCTGCTCCTCCTCCTCCTCCTCCTCCTCCTCCTCCTCCTCCTCCTCCTCCTCCTCCTCCTCCTCCTCCACAATGACTCAATATGACTACTACTCGCCTCCTTCCCCTGATGACGGGTTGGGAGTGTTCGCCGCCCCCCCCCCCGCGTATTGTTTTTTTTTACATAGGATTCCCCGGAGTTGGGTTTTCGCTTGCATTTTTGCTCAAAATGCTGCTCTCGCTGAGGCGCCGGCCTAATTTTCGGGCCCCGCTGGTTCCAATCGTGCTCCCGCTGCAGCGCTGGCCTCATTTCCGTGCTTCCACTCGTTCCGAATCGTGCTCCCGCTGCAGCGCTGGCCTCAGTTCCGCGCTTCCGCTCGTTCCGAATCGTGCTCCCGCTGCAGCGCTGGCCTCATTTCCCGTGCCACGCCACGGCATGCAATGCAATGCTAGGTTGCGTTCCGCTGCGCGATGCCATGCCTTCAGCTGAAGCTGTGATATGCGGTGCTTAAGTGCCACGTCGTGCTATGCCATGCTACGCTTTGATCTTCAACGCCATGCTATGCAATGTTATGTTCGGGGCCGCTGTGCGATGCCATGCTTTGCGTTACAAAGCTTCGTGATGCAAGTCTTCACTACGCCACGCCACGCCATGCTCTGATATACTACGCTCTGCGTTGCTCTTCTACGCCATACCATGCCGTGCTCTACAATGCATCGCGTACCCTTTCGGGATCATTGCCCTGCTCGACATCCGACTGTGCGAGTAGACAGGGGATCTACGTCATGGTAAGGGATGGGAGGGAGGCGTAGGATGTCAGATATGACGCGAGCGCACCAAGCTTGTCCTCCTCCTCCTCCTCCTCCTCCTCCTCCTCCTCCTCCTCCTCCTCCTCCCTCCTCCTCCCTCCTCCCTCCTCTTCCTCCTCCCTCCTCCCTCCTCCCTCCTCCTCCTCCTCCTCCTCCTCCTCCTCCTCCTCCTCCTCCTCCTCCTCCTCCTCCTCCTCCTCCTCCTCTTTCTCCTCCTCCTCCTCCTCCCGGACGCTTTCGTCGGTTCCCGGCGCCCCTCTGGCCTCGGCACGCCCAGGGTCACCGAGGGTCCCCGAGCGCGCTGCACTGCTCGCATGCCCACTCGCAAAAACGTCAGCAAAACGCATGCTCGCCGCGCTGTCGTCGGATCGTGAGTCCCTCGCGGCGGATCCAGGCGATGTGCCTCCTCCTCAACCTCCTCCTCCTCAACCTCCACCTCCTCCTCCTCCTCCTCAACCTCCTCCTCCTCCTCAACCTCCTCCTCCTTCTCCTCCTCCCCCTGCTCCTCCTGCGCCTCCTCCTCCTCCTCCAGTTACTGCTGTGCGAGTAGTGGACCGCGCTTGTCTAGGGGGGCGTGCTGGGGGTGCCCGGAGGATCGCCCCGAACGGCCATCGGGATCGGGGGCCCGAGCGGTGGCCCGAAAGCCACCCGGGGGGCGGCGGGCCTCCCCCCGCTCGGAACCCGGCTCGAGGTGTACACCGCGCCTTCTGGCTGGCCAACGTGCGGGGCCCAAAAGTATGCACCACCAACACTTCCCTCACCCCTTTCCCCTCCCAGGGAAAAAGAGGAGGAGGAGGCGCAGGCGGAGGCGGAGGAGGAGGAGGAGGAGGAGGAGGAGGAGGAGGGGGAGGGGGACAGGGAGGGGGCGCTCGCGTCATATCTGACGTCCTACCCCTCCCTCCCATCCCTTACCATGGCGCTGATTTTCTCTATCCGCGGACGCGTGTCGTAGCGGACCTGTGGCTCCGCGCGCGCGTGCGTAGTGGAAGGTGGTGCACGTGCGTGCGTTCGTTCGTGCGTGTGTGCGTGGTTGTCGTGGTGGTGGTGGTGGTGCTGGTTGTGGTGGTGGTGGTGGTGGTGGTGGTGGTGGTGGTGGTGGTGCTGGTGGTGGTGGTGCTGGTGGTGCTGGTGGTGGTGGTGTTGGTACTGGTGCTGGTGCTGGTGCTGGTTGTGGTGGTGGTGGTGGTGGTGGTGGTGGTGGTGGTGGTGGTGGTGGCGGTGCGGCGCGGTGGTGGCGGGCGGATGGGCGCGCGAGAAAAAGGCCCGCGCTGGGGCGAGAACGCCATCCTGAACGACGGAGGCCAAGCACCGATCCGAAAATGAGGCCCACGCTGCAGCGGGAGCACGATTCGGAACGATTCGGGAGCAGAAATGAGGCCGGCGCCTCAACGAGAGCAGCATTTTGGGAAAAAATGACGCCGGCGCCTCAGCGAGAGTCGTTTCCCGGGATTTCCCGGGCATCCTGTGTGTAAAAAACAGTACGCGGAGGGTGCGCGGCTATCACCCGGACGCCATCGGGGGAAGGATTCGGGAGCAGAAATGAAGCGGAGGCGGAAGAGGAACGTAGAGGAGGGAGGGGATTTGGAGGTGGTGGTGGTGGTGTATATTGCTGGGAGCCCGCAGAAGGAGCCCGCGAGCTCAGCAAAGGAGACCGCTGTGTAGACGCCACAGCGTCTCACCGCTTGGGGCGCTGAACTGCTGTCTGTCGGCTTCGCGCTGGCCGCCGGGCGTCGGCGTCACTGGCCGCCGGGCGTCGGCGCTAATCCCGCGATTTGCCCGAGCAGGGGGCCTATTTTTCCAAACGCGCGCGCCCCACGGATCTGTTATTCACAACCTGACACTACCGAGACTGCCAGGCTACCTTCGTGTTCGCCTTTTTGGGCCTCCTGGGAGGCCCTCGTCGCCACCGCTGGATTCGCCCCGGAATTCTGGAAGCACCGCGGGAGAGTTCCGTGGAGCAGCGGTATCGGCACCTCTTGGTTTCTCCAATGTAGACGCCCCAGCATCCCACAGGTTGGGTAGCTGAGCGTCCACGCGCCGAGCCCCATGGCCAACCGGATGGGTTGGCGCAGACGCCGAGGCCCTTCCGCCTCACCGGGGCATCCTGGTGGAAACACGCCCTCCAGACTGTCTTACCGTGTCTTTGGAGGCTCCGTGTGCGTCATTTGCTGCTTGCGTGCTTCATTCGTTTGTGTGTGTGTATGTGCGTGTGTGTGTGTGCCGTGTGTCCACCACGCCTCGAAAGCCTTGCCATGCCCGTCATGATCTATACGGTGGGGCCGCAGGCGGCGTGGAGACAAGGATATGAGCAGTGAAGGAGGAAGGTGTAGAGAAAGGGAGGGAGGCGAATCTAGGATTGGAATACGTGTATATGTATATATTTATGGTTAAAGAGTACATCTATATATATATATATACATATATCTATACACATAGAAACAGAGAGAGAAGGATAACGACAGAGAAACACTATGATCACAATCTGACATGCACCTCTGCATTTTTATATACATGTATCGATGTGTTTGGCGATTTTGGTTTTGGGGTAGTCCCCAAGGCGCCACAGCGGCCCCAAGAGGGCCCCCAACCGTCCAAAGACGGCCCCGAAAAGCATCCACGCGGCCCCGCAGCGGCCCCAGAAGCTGCCAACATTGCTTGTAGCCGCCCAAGAGGCACAGACGATTCCAAAAATCATCCTGTGTGGCTTAGGAATTTCCGAAACGCCTCCAGAGATCTGCAAGGCAACCTCCAAGAGCGCTCCATCAAGCACACATCGCCGCATTTTTGTTAAGGAAACAAGAGTGTTTTGCAGATTCTTGTGTTTTCTTTTCAACAGTGCGAGGCGGCCACAGGGTCCTTTATGTTCCCTTTGTAGAGGGCCCCAATTTGGCTCCTGACGCCCGCAGAACGGTCCAAGAGGCGCCAAAGACGGTCCCAGAGGATTTTAAGTTGGGGCCCGAGAGGGGCCCACGACAGCCCAGGATGGCCCCAAGGCGGCCAAGGAGGCGCCCATGATGGCTCCAAATGGCCCCAGGACGGTTCAAGAGGCGCCTTAAAGAGCCCAAGAGGACCCCGAGAGGCCCCCACGAGACC